ACGACTAACAGATGCAGTGGAAGCCTCCTCTCAGGGCACGTTCCGACCAGACAGAGATAGGGACGAGCTGACACTCGCCCTGCAGACTCCAGAGCATCCAGGACGAACACGAGGGAAAGGGGTGATTCCTTGGAAGATTGGTTTCAAGGAGGACATCCACACGTACAGGAGTCGGATGAGGAGCAAGAGAGATACCGAGGCGAAGATTGCAGACCTAGAGTTCCGGGTATCGAGCTACGAACGCATGGCCGCACATCGGTCCCATGATCCCCAGCCGACCATTCCTCCTGCAATGGTGAGCCCGTCAGGAAACCGTAGCAGCTGCGCCTCAACGGGGCAGGTAGGATCACAGAGCATGGACGCCATGCAAACACAGGACGAATCGACCTGTCCCGTTGATGACATCACTCAGCGGACACCATGTGAGCTGCATATTCCTTTCAAGAACTTATCAATAAAGGTAAGATTTAGCCATTCCGCTAGTTGCTGCTTATATATGTTGATTACTAATAAATAATCTCTCACAACATGAAGGTGGTGTCGGGCATGGCCATCCCAATGGACCCTTCAGGTACTTACCACTGCAGGCCGATTCCAGCAGGATACTCGAAGGTCGAAGTTGAGTTGGTCGAAGGCGCGTACGAGGACCTCGAGCTGGATTACCCTGGAGGAGACGGTGAGACGCATCTACGAGACACAAGCCATGCCATTATTCTATGGCGCAGGCGGTACATCATCCTCCCTGGGCGACAAGCGGCGTCTCGTGCACCATCTCCTCCGGCTCCGCCATCTCCTCCTCAGGATCCTGCACCGTCTCCTCCTCATGCTCCGCCAGCACCGTCTCCACCTCAGGCTCCAGCATCGACTCCTCCTCAGGATCCTGCACCGACTCCTCCTCGTGCTCCTACACCTACTCCTCCGCAAGCTCCTCTTCCGGCACCTTCAAAGTCAAGGGCCCCCCCAGCTCCACCGTCTGCCCACACAAGGGCAACGAAGAAGGCGAAAGTTGACGCCGCCAAGAACAAGGACCCGGGGTACGATTGCACGCAAGAGGAGCTTGACGCTTACGTTGCATCAGAAGTCAAGAGACAATTCAAGCCTCGAAGTCCAGAAAAGAAGATTCCTATAGACCCCAGTATCATGAACTTCTTCAGGGGTATGTCTGCACCTGTCAAGGAGGCCATCAAGCTATCGGACTATGAGCGAACGCTGAAGAAAGCATCTTCTGGAAAGTCCAAACCAGTCCCTCAGCTTGGAGAGCAACCAAACCAGGAGATCGAGCCGTTGGTGACCGGGAAAGACATGACGATAGAAGAATTTATTATTGACACCGATCTAACTACGGATCAATTGCTAGGAGTTGAACCAATAGAAAAGGCTGAATTGAAATACATGTACGAACTCGATAAACCGCTTGTCAAGCCCGAGCTGGTGCAGTCCCTACCCACACAAATGTACAAGTTCCATCAGCTGTACGTGGAGATGAGCGCCACCGGTAGAGAGATGATCGGAGCGAGGATCAGGGACCTCGACTTCTTGCAAGGAGATGATATTCTCTGGATCAATTTCAAGGGAATCTACGAAGTATACCAGCTGGACGCCCTCGACGTCTCTATTATGAGTTTCTGGACTTTGTAAGTATATCGTTCAATTATAATTCTTAATTACTACGTCTCCTTTAATTAATTAGGTCCTTGTATATAAGTAGACTATATAAAATAAAATACTCCCTTTTATCGTTGTAGAATGGAGATTCAAAGGGCCCGACGGCGGAGGGTTTTCGATACTGGATTCATCGACCCTCGGAGAGTAAACGTTGCAATGCTCGACCAATATCCGCAGGAAATAGAGGACAATCTCGTCCATCTCCTGAAGGCGCAGCATTACAAGACGTTTATACTGTTACCGTACAACACAGAGTTAGTTTAATTTTACTGTCTTCCTACATACCAAATTTTATTCCCGTACGAACTTGCTAAGTGTTTCATATGTAATGCATCCCACGCACATTGCAGATTCCACTGGGTGCTTTTACTCTTCGACCTGTCGGCCTGCACCGTCAATGTATATGACTCAATGGATAAAAAAGAGTCTACGTTTGACAAGGTTTTCGAACTTATAGACAGGTACTGGCATAAGTTTCTCTGTTAATTAAGAAATTCTTGTTATGTTAATTATTTCTACTACGAATCATATCTTTAAACTCCATGTAGGGCTTGGTATCGGTTCCGTCATTTGGTCCGCGGCAACTAGAGAGAAAGACTTAGGCGGAGGTTCAAATTTCCTGTGAGTACACATGCTCTACATTTATATTTCTCCGATTCAAATTAATACATACAACTGTATATTAATTAGATCTCACGCCGTTAATTTGTCATTTATTTGTAGTGCGCAAAGCAAAAGCAGGGAACTAACTTGTGCGGCTACTACGTGTGTGAGTATTGCCACTGCCTTGCAGACCAAATCATCACCACAAGAGAGCTCGATGTACGTACAAATAAATTCAAAATTTCATTACGTAACGATTTCTTGTTTAATTACTAATCAATTTCATACATTCATATAATTTATTCGCATGAGGGATAACCTGACCACACACAAGAAATTTATCGCAGCGGTTCAAGAACAACTCATGGGATTCATCAACGAAGAAATCCTTGATCCCAAGGGTGAATTCTACTACGACGGAAACACAATTCACCGGTCCTTAGCTTCTGAGCTAGCAGCGACTACTACTACGTCGAAATCGTAGCTAGCTAGGACATATAATGGATTGTAATTAATACATGACTACATATGTTTCTATATGCATGTGTACACATTTTCTATAATGTAAATATATTTTGGTCATATATATATCTATATACATATGCATTTGCATAACATATATATGTATAAATACATATATATTATGCATGTATATACATATAATATAATATAATATATATATATACATATATATATATATGTATGCATATATATGTATTCAAACATATATATGCATGGTTTATATATATATATATATATATATATATATATATATATATATAAACCATGCAGCAACAGGGCCATGCAAAAAAAAAAAAAAAGGTCAGCTCGATCTTTAGTCCCGGTTATTTCACCCGGGACTAAAGATAGCGATCTTTAGTCCCGGATTGGTACTCCCGGTTTGGAAACCGGGACTAAAGGGGGGTTACGAACTGGGACTACGAAGGGTTTCTCCACCAGTGTATCATATGATCATATCATTGCTCTAATGGAGGAACTAATTAACGGATGAGAACGGGGGAGAAGCATGTGTTCCCGGCGATGGGGATTCCGTTTCCGGAGTTGCGCAAGGCGGAGGAGGATTGAGTTTGAGTTTGAGCCAGTGTGGCGGTGGCATCACCGCGATCCGAGGAGCCATGGCGACTTCCACGGCAAGGGAAGGGGAGGAGAACGAAGAAAGATGATGGACTGCCACAAATGGTCCAGAGAAAGGGGATTATTTGGGACCAAACGGCTTGGAATTTGAGGAATGTTTTTATTTTTAAGTTTAGAATTTGAGGGGAACTTTGGAATTTTTACGTACTATCTAAAAATAATCTTTAAGCATTGTTCCTTTAATCCTCTTTAATTCCCTTAAATTCCTTTCTGATGTGGATTAAGATCAATGTCAACGATCTGAAAGGCTGAAAGGGTTCCATCTCGACAGAACACAATCAACGGCGACTAAAAAGCTATTCGTACAAAAAAAATTTCCATGAAAAATCCAGTACGAACATAGTCTTAATTTTCTTTTATTTCTTCTTAGTTGGTAGTGATCAAACGTTCTCATCTTTTCGGTTATGTTTATCAGCCAAAATTTAAATTTTCAACCTTAGAGTTGATTTTGGGGTTTTTTCATCCAAATTTATTTTTTAACATTTGCTTTTTTTCGCTAAGAATATGAATATAAAAGTTTTATCCAATTATTTTCGTTTGTAAATATGCCGTTTTTATTCCGTCTCTTTGTATCGGTTTGACTTCCGGCACCAGTAGTTACGAATCGGTACCAATGCCTGTTTATATAGTAGTAATTGGATCTATTTCTTATACGCAAGTTCATTTCGACGCGACATTCTTAGCAAAAGACATCTAATGATGATGGACTTGTTAAAACAACCTATTATTACAACAATCAGATGATTGATCTGGCTTTATAACAATAATGCTGGGACGCCAACATATAGGTGAAAAAAACTGTGTAATATAATTGTTTGAGAGGATATATTATGTAGTTTTTTATAATGTTGAAAAAAAGAATAATAATACATAATGTGGGATAGTAAGGTGATGGCGGCGCCAACAAAGCCATGGGACCAGCAACAGGCGGTGGGCTAGTGTTGATGGGCCGGGGGCTAGGATCTTGACCATTTAAAAGGTGGGTGGGGCCACCGCGTTGTCACTTGACTTGGAGAGGAGGAGAGGCGGGCAGGGTGAAGGACTAGGCAAGTCCGCGCCGATGCCATTTGTGCTTTCTGTTGCCAATGTGGCTAAGGGGTGACGTACTGCATGGGTTAGATTTTGGTGAAGAAAATGAGTGTCGTGTACGGGGGTAGAAGATATAAAAAGGCCATTGTGCTTGCATGAATCATAGCGTGATCTAAGCCATCCAAAATTGACGGAAATAAATTAGGGTTTTTTTATTTATTTTTCCAAACAACGAGCACGGACATAATAGGAGTGGGTGTTCGGTTTTCCGGTTTTTTTTTGCTCGGTTTATTCAGTTTTGGAGAAGATCGGTTTTGAAGATATGGCAACCGAGTTTGTCTAAAATAAGGTAAAACCAAGCCGACTAAACCGAACAAATTCGGCTCGTTTTTTCGGTTCTCGGTGAACCCGAACAGACTGTGACCCTTGTTTGAAATGTACGCTAGCAAGTAGCGCATGCTGAAGCAAAAGCTAAGAATTAAACTGAACAGCCAAGAGCATAAAAAGGTCATATATAATTGGATAATAGATGCCACGATTCCACCAGATATTTGGAGTACTAGATAATACTATATTGAAGTAATGATGTTTCTAAAACCACACAATAATCATCTGTCTGACAAGCAACAACAAACGTCCAACATGAATATCAATAGTTCATACTGCAATACATGTGCAGCAGACCAGCAACGTTACAGCAAAACTTTTTTTTTTGAACGCCGAAGTTACAGCAAAACTGGGTTACAAGAAACCCCAGCTTAAGTATTGGCCAAAAGTAGACTTGATTAGTTGACTGCGCAATCAGCTGCCCACCAAATTCAGCATACCACAGCTCACATCCAAAGCTGAAAACCAAAGAAATTAATCAAGATTAGAAAAACTATGTTCCACCTCCTATTGCTAGTAAAATGATATCTCCTGAATCCTGATACGTACAAGATTTTTAGGGATTAGGAGAACTAGGCTTGGACGCAGGAGCCATGGGGGGGCTTGGAAGTACAACAATCTTTTTTTGCAACCAGTTCTGAAACATGATCCAAACAAAAGCATGTAATCTTTATTTTGTTACCTTGTTCAATTAGGGCCAACTTTTCGGGGTCCTCTTCTATGCTAGTAGGCGGGGTGCTTCGCAACCAATCTTATGTACTCACTCCATACTCATAAAGGAAGTCGTTTAGGACAATGTTTAAGTCAAACCTTAGGAATATAAATCATGAATAACTCCCAAATTATTGAGTTTGAAAATATAAAAATTATATGTATAGATTTGTCTTGAAAAATACTTTCATAACAGTATACATATATCACTTTTCAATAAATATTTTTATAGAAACAAGAAGTCAAAGTTGTGTTTTGGAGATCGTGTCGCTGTCCTAAACGACTTTCTTTACGAGTATGAAAGGAGTACAAATTAGGCGTTCAGCCATAGATGGTGTGATAGTATAGTTGGCCAAAAGGCCAGCAGCTCGACAGCTCAGTACACGGCACAAAGATTTGGCCCAGCCCAGGTATGGTATTTTTTGACAGTTGTCGGCCCCGTGCCAGTCTGACCCGACTATTGGGCTACGCATAAGCCTCTTCCTTGGCACGACAACGTCGTGCCGTCCCCGGCACAACACGGCTCAACGGTACCTCGCTCCCGCAGGCCGGCACGGCTCAATGGTAGCTTGCGCCATAGCCCATTGGCGCCTGGCCCAAAGAGATGAGGGATACAAGATAGACTTATTCCAGCCATATAATGCATGATATAAAGATGTGAGGGGGTAAAATATACTTATTCTAGCCATATAAGGCACGGCCTTAAAAAAATGAGGGAGGCAAAATAAACTTATTCCAAGGATCAATACGGTATGCTAGTCGTGCCTTCGAGCCAGCATGGCATGATCCGAGTCTTATTGGGCCATGCCTGGGATATAGGTGTAGGCGCCCGCCGTGGATGGGCACGGCGCGACATGGTTAATCTCAGGCCGAGCCGGTCCGACTGATCTTGGACCGTGCCTTAGTCGTGTCCCGGCCAGGCCGTGTCGGGCGACTCATTTTGGCCATCTATACATAGTGGAGTAGAATCCAACGCAGCGGAGAATGATTGGTACTTCGATAATGAACGTAAAATCGGTAGGCATACAGGGGCATACGTCTCAGTGGCTTAGCTTCTAGTCTTGTAGCTCTTGACGGCATACACAGCCTGAAGAACTTCACAGACTAGGCCAACAATGGCGGCGAGCAGCGCGGTCGCCACCAGCGGGTTGCTCAAATGCCGCCGCCGCAGCAGCGCCATCCAGTTGACTGGCCGGCTGCTGTACCGCCGCTCCATCTTCTCCCACGTCGGCTGCAGGTAGTTCTGGCGCGCGTCGTCGACGCTGAGCGCCACGCCCCTGCACAGGCCGGCGAATCCCTTAGCGACGTCCTCGTCGCACCCCATGAAGTGCACGACGACGCCTTTGCTCGCCAGGAGCGCGACGTCGTTCGCCGTGCCGGCGAGATGCGACATGAAGAGGCAGTAGGCCGTGACGTGGCTGCCCAGGTTTGGGTTGTTCTGCTCCAGCGCCATCAGGTTGCGCAGGACCCGCCACGTGTTGTTGTCCACCGTCAGCGTCGGGACGTGCAGCGTCAGCCGCCGGAGCTCCACGTCGAGGACGCACCGTGCGTCGCCGAGGCCGAGGGCCCGTCTCTTGAACCTCACGCCGGCGGCGTGGTACTGCGTCGCCCCGCGCCAGCGGTACACGGTGGCGCGCGCGCGCCTGGTGGGGATGGGGACAGCGGCAGCGTCGTCGGCGGCCGGCGCCATCGCCATGGGTGTGAAGTGCATGTGGAGTAAGTGGACGAGGTGACAGGGGCGTGTGCTGGTGATGTCCACCTCCAGATTCGAGTAGCCCTGGTCTCGGAGGAGTGACCGGAGATGGCGCACGAACCCATCGACAACCACGACGGAGGAAGACGACGACCCGCCGCCGGCGATGGCTGTAGCTCCCGGAGAAGGAGGGGGAGAGTGGATCAGCTCGTAGACCTTCTCGAGGATGAAGAAGGGTATCTGGTTCTCGAGCAGGTAGAACACGTCGCGCACGGCGAAGATGTCCACCGCTCTCCCGCCGCCGCCGACGCCGACGCCGAAGTAGTGGAGTATGTACCACCCGTCGAGCAGCAGCATCAACGCAAACTCCTCCGCGCCCATGTCATCCGTGTCATCGCGGTAGTAGCTCCGCGCCTCGCTTTCGAGGCCGGCGATGGCCGCCAGGTAGCGCCTCAGCGTGGACGCCCGCTCGTCGTCGCCGTCGGGGAGGGCACGCCGGAGCGCCGCCAGCTTGTCCAGCTCACACCGGTCCAGCGACCTGTGGTGGTAGGCGCCGACGAGCAGCACCTGCGGAGCGTACTGCGATACGTCGACGAGGCGGACTTGCGGCTTCACGATGGAAATGTGGCACTCCGGCGAGCCGTGTCGCCGGCCGCCGTCGTCCAAAGGAACGTCGCATAGTTTTGCCTCTAGTTGGTCGGCGAGAAGATTGATGTCAATTTGGGTTTGGTAATCCCCTGAAAATTCTTCTGGTTAAGCATGCCAAGTGTCATATATATAATATATGGTGATCTGAAGCACATGATATGCTTAATTGCGAAATCTTTATAATTTATATGGTGATCTGAAATTCTGAAGCACATATAATAATACATAATCTGTTGACTATGGACCAGTTTATGAATTATTGAAATATAAATATGCAACGAAAGAATGAATCTGAGGAAAGAAATAATCAGGTCAAATTGCAAATCACAAATATAGCATATAAATTTTTAGGCCATTTGGCATAGACTACACTCGACAGAGGCACCTCAAAAGCGATTGAAAATGAAGAGAGCTAGCACTGTATATATGTGGCAATGGAAGGGAATATTTCCTTAATTTACTTCATGAACATTACTTACCTGTGACTCCATCGATGCTCATTTCCTTGTAACGTTTCTGTCTTGTTTCATTCTGCTAAAGGTGGCATGTTCATTGTACAAAATAAAACGAAGTTAACACACACATATATATTGTGTGTTCCATTCCTCCGATCCCATCTTTGTCCTTTTCACTTCGACTCTTCCATCGAATAATATTAGGTGCAATTTCCGACGGATGTGCATATCCACTATCTAAAGTGTGTTTCTTTAAAAAGATGAAAGGCTCCGCCAATAAAAAAAAAGAAGAGTACTAAAGGAAAAGTAATTAAAGTAATATCTTAGTGCAGCTTTCTGTATATACATCCTCAATAGGATCATGAGAATTCCTTCACACCGTACAAGTAGCTTTAATTGCCTTTTAAAATATCTTCCATGCATGTCACTTGAACAAAACAAGAAGAGTAAATGTCACAAAAACCTGGGTATATATTGATGCATCCGTAACACATGTTGAGAGTGAATAGAATCGACAGATTAAGCGAGAGAGAATTGAGCGACATAATAGAGCGAATTGATAGTTTCTCATTGATCAAGAGTACATATAAATGTGAAGCGGTGGCAACCGCAGGGACACGATGGTTGGGAACCATCACATCGGTTATCGAGAGGGGCGCTGAGGGGAGAGAGAGGAGCAGTAACGCCCTGACATTCGTTAGCCATAGACACAGCTAACTCACACCGGAGTGTTATGCATTACCTGTGATATAGTACCAGTCCCAGGATACATTAGCTGGTATACACAGAATAAATGTGGAATCAAAGTAAACTGCTTTATTACATCACTGGATAGTAGTACTTACATAAGTTGCCATCATGGACAGGCCCATAGATAAACAACACAACATTACATAAAACCATAAAAGCGACGGCGCAGAAGTGAATAGCGCGGAGAACTAAGCGACTAAGCAACTATGCACTAGGCAAAGAACCTAGGCAACTAACTTATTCCACAAGCGAGGCTTGGGGCTAGGCACGAAACATCTAGAAGTCTTCATACTCGGCTTGCTCCTGGAGATACTCCTCGGCGGTCGGGTCGACATCTTCGTCTTCACACTCTATAGGTTATTATAAGGGGCAAGGGTGAGTACTTAACGTACTCAGCAAGCCAGGGGGAAGAATGACATGTTTAGTTTACACAACGAGGCTAAGGTTTTATTTGCGAAAGCTGCCTTTTTGGCAAAGTGATTTATTTCACAAAACTCCTAGTGAGTGAGTCAAGTTTTAGTTGTCGGGAGGAGGCTCACGCCTCAACCCATTCCACAAGTTGCTTTGCAACAACTTGTCAAGATTAACGAACAACAATTAATTTGTTCCCTCATTAACTCGTTTTCACTATCACAACAACACATAGTTCACCCAATTACCTTAGCACATCAACGCCATCATGGCCCTAACAACACGTCGGTGTCGGACGACACCCCAGGTCACACAGACCCGTTCCTAACCACAAAGGTTAGCCGTCTGCTACACAGGCGGACTCTGGTAACGTTCCCTTTTCAGTAACCACTTTTTTCACAAACCTTTGTCAAACAAATCTACACTATGAGAAACACCTTACACTCGCCCTTGACCGTGGGCACGACTGTTCGAACAGTTCATTAATCTCTACAGAGGTTGCACGCTTTACCCACACGACACGAAACTTACACTGGTACTGGCCAGTACCGGAAGTTCGTGATAAGGCCTTTCCAAAGCTAACACATGAAAATCGCATGCCACCTAGTTGGGCTAAGATCCATAGCCGAGTATTAGGCAATGACAGCCGTCATCCACTCAGGAAATACCGAGGATGCCTCCTACTCTTACTGGTATCACGCCACAATAGAGGCAAAAAGACACCCATGATGGGCAATAAATGTGTAATACTTCGTCTCCTCATCCTCGGCATTCCACAACCATTGGCACACCAACTCCCATGTGATAACAATTTACTTAACCAGAGGCATCCCATAAATATCTGTGTGGTCGCACTGTAACGTGTTCGGATGGATTTCCCAAAGAAATCGGTCCTTAACAATAATACGTAGCCAAACCACAAAGGCGTGACTCCGCATCATCACCACTTTCACAACACATTTTATTTCACAACTCCCCGGTACACTGTACCAGATTTTTAAGCATGTATTTGGAATAACCCAAGTTTCCCACACGGCAATAACGTAAGCATGGCTAAGCGAAACTACCTCGGTAATCGTATAACGATACCGGCGCAAATATTTGTGGAGCTATCAAAGGTATGGAAACATCAACCTATGAAATATAAGTGCAACTACTAGGTTGGTCCGTCGGTTGTATAAACAATCCGAGGCCTAAACATGTTAATCGTGTGAACTAAACAATGCATCTTTGCAAACAACATATCATTAAAAATATAGGGGCAATGTGATCAAAGGGGTTTGCCTTGCACAGGGTTGGAGTCTTCTCTTTCGAAAGCGGCGTCCGGGGCTTCTTCGAACTCAGGCTCTAAACGCGAAAACAAAGCTAAATAAGAAAAGGCAATAAAACAAGCTTAAATCAGATAAACAACAGTGCCACTGTGTAGATCTCAATTTTAGAAAAATTTAAGAACTTAAACGGGGTCAATCGGAGTTACTGTTGATTTTCTAGGAGTTTTCAAAGGTTAAAAGGATTTTCTGAGATTTTTATTTATTGGACGGGAAGGGAATATTCCGCTAGCGTTGACGGCAAGGAGGTCCACCTGTCAGTGAAGGATGGGAAGAAGGAGGCGCGGGCCCGGCTTGTCAGTGGCTGAGGAGGAAAAGGGTCGTGGAGCCGGCTTGTCAGCGACTGGAGGGGGTCTTCTTCCTCGTCCTCGCGTTCTGCTCGGCTCGGCCCGAGGCGTGTCGCGGCGGCGAGGCGCGGCTCCGCGGCCAGGGGCCGGGGAAGGCGGCCGCGAAATCCGGCGAGGTTCTGCCGGCGTCGGTGGCGCCGAGAGGAGGAGCGCGGCGGCCCGAGTGACGACACGGAGAGAAGAACGAGAGAAAGAGAGAGATGAGAGAGAGAGATGGCAATGGTGTGGGGTGAAAGGGGCTCGGCCCTCCTTTTATAGCCGGCGCGGCTTGGCGGGACGCGGCGGCGAGCTGGCAGCTAGGGCGCGGGAGAACCGGGGGTATGGGGCTAGCTGCTTCGGCCGGATTCGCGGAGAGGAAGGGACGGCGACGCGACGGCTTGGCGTCAGGCACCGGTGGCGACGCGATGTGAAGCGACGGACGCGCGGAGAGCGGGAACGGCGGCGAGACGTGGGTGACGCACGGCCGACGACGGCTATGGCCGGGATTTGGGGCGGTAGGGCTATAGGGGGGTGACGCATGCGGCGGTGGCGACGCGACGCGAGAGAGAGAGGGAGAGACGCGGCTCAGCGGCTTCCCGGGAGGAGACGGAGACAAGACGACGAGGCGACGGCGAGGGGACGCGCGTCCGCGGAGGTTCTGGGACGGGACGGCGACAGGACGACGATGATGCAAGGTGACGCCGTGCCGTGTCTCCCGGCGGGATTCGCGGCTTGTCGTGGCGCGGCCTTGGCGCGATGCGCGGTGCACGGGTAGGCGGCTCGGTGCAGCACACGGCTCGGCACGATTCGGCGCCCGGGTCGGCATTTCGTCGAGCGGCTCGTGTGCATGCACTGGCTGGCTCAGGGAGGAAGACAAACAGTGGCGGTTGGGCTGGGCTGCTGCGGGAGAGAGGCCGTGGGCCGGCCTGCTTAGGTGGGAAGGAGAGGAGAGAAAAGGGGAATAAGTGTACTTTGACTCCCTCAAAAGTGACCCAAATCTAATCCATGACCATAAACCGCAAAACCGGATATCTCGACCCCCGAACTATTGAAACCGGTGCAATTTGACTCCTTTTGCGGTTTTGGAGGGCGATTTCGTTGACGTGGCGCTGACGTGGCGGTGTTGACCTAGTCTATGGGTTGATGTGGCGCTTAGGTGGCATTTAAATTAAAAACCTACATGTGGGACCCATTTGTCATTCGCACTGAAGAATTTGTGGGGCCCACATGTCAGTCTATCCCTCTCCCTCCCTTGTCTCTTATCTCTCTCTCCCTCCCCATTCGGCAAGTAGGGACCGCCGGCGGCAGCGGCAACGACGGCGAGCGGGGGCTAGAGTGACGGCAGCGGCGGGAGAGCGGTCGTCGCTCGAGAAGGAGGTGCTGCTGCCGAGCTCCGCATCTGGGCAACGCCGAGCTTAGCTCTCGAGGTTCGGTCAGATCTGGCGGTAGCGGAGGAGCTCCGGCGCCGTGAGTTGGCCACGCGGTCCGCCGGCACGCACCGGCCGTCGTTCGCCAGCGAGGAAGGAGACAGCGGTGCACAACAGCCAGCGAAAGAGCAAGCGGCGCATGGCGGCCGGCGGGAGAGGAGGCGGAGCGCGCCAATCGCCAGGAGAGAAGGCGAGGCAGCGGTGCGCATCGGCCGGCGGGTGAGGAGAGAGCGGCGCGTGACAGCTGGTGGGAGAGGAGGTGAGGCAACGGCACGCGCCTGCTGGCGGGAGAAGAGCGGCTCGCCGGCCTCTCCGCCTCCCCGTCTCCTCCTTTTCTTCTTCACAGGAGACAGTGAGGGAGTGCGGGACGGCGACCGGTGGTGGACGGCGATAGCAACGGGATAGAGCTCGGCGAGGGAGCTTCAATGGATGCCACCGCATGGGCCGCCGCCTTAGACCTCCACCTCCGTCGTCGGCCACCGACGACGCCAACGACAACCCCCACCGGTCGACTTCCTCCACAACGTCAAACCCATCTCGCCGAGCGCTGCCTCACCATCGTCGACTCCTCCACTCCGGGGATCGCCACTCCCACGTCAGCTCCCGGCGCCGCTGCCACATCAGGTCCCGCCGGCCGAAGGGGAGAAAAAGAGAGAAAGAGAGAATGGAGGAAGAGGGGAGGAAGAAGAAAGAGAGAGGATGACATATGGGGCCCATATGCCAATGGCCCCCACAAATTTTTATATGTGTGAATGACAAACGGGTCCCACCTATATGTTTTTAATTTAGATGCCACCTAAGCGCCACGTTAACCCATAGACTAGGTCAACACAGCCACGTCAGCGCCACGTCAGCGAAACCATCCTCCAAAACCACCAAAGGAGTCAAATTACACCGGTTTTAATAGTTCGGGGGTCGAGATATCCGGTTTTGCGGTTTAGG